TAACTTCAAGGTCGGCAGTTCGAAACTACCAGCTGTTCCACAGGAGAAAGATGAGGCTTTCTGCTCCCATAAAAATTTGCAGCCGCGAAACTCTGTGAAGGGTCACAATGAGTAGGAACTGACTCCATGGTACTTAACAACAATAACAGACTGTGGTCTATGGTGAATTGTACAAGAATTCTAAAGTACAATATACTTTCAACACAAATGCATAATGGAAAAATGGAAACCATTTTCCAATGGTATTATGTTATTGTTAAGTGCTGTGGAGTCACTTCCAACTCAGTGACCCTGCATAGGCTTTTCAAGGAGTGGCTGGTGGGTGTGAACTAGCAACCTTATGATTAGTAGTCCAGTGCTTATCCTACAGCACTACACCAGGCTTCCAATGGTATTATTGTTGTTGTTGTTGTTGTTGTTGTTATGTGCCATCGAGTCGGTTCCGACCCATAGCGACCCTGTATAGGGTTTCCGAGGGTGTAAATCTTTATGGGAGTAGAAAGCCTCATCTTTCTCCCGCGGAGCAGCTGGTAGTTTCGAACCGCTGACCTTAAGGTTCGCAGCCCGATTCGTAACCACTAGGCTATTATAGACAAGGTAAAAATCAGCTTTAAAACAGTGCAGAAAATCCTAATTTCAATCAAATTGGTCATGTTGCCTTTTCTTTAGTGAGAACAGAATGGATAATAAGCTACAATAGTAAAAACTTTGAAGAGTTACTAATTACATTGTGGAGTCCTGGTGTGATTCTTTGGGTTAATGAAATAGATTCCAAAGTTGGTTTGAAATATAAGGTCGGTGGTTTAAGTTCACAAGCTGCTCCCTGGAAATGCTATACAGGGTCTCTATGAGTCGGAAATGACTTGATAGCACTAAACAACAATAATTACACTGTATATCATATTAAAATAAATAAGAGGGTCCATGATCTAGGGTTCAGGGAACACACCTGAAAATCAATCTTTATGAAGAACTTGTTTTAGGTAAGGGCAGTTGAGTCCATTCCAACTCTTCGCGAGTCTGTATAGGGTCTCTGGGGAGGGGCTAGTGGGTTTGAACTACTGAGCTTGTAGTTAGCAGTCCAGTGCATATTCTACAGTGCTCTGGTAGCATAGTGGTTACAAATCGGGCTGCGAACTGCAAGGTCAGCAGTTCGAAACTACCAGTTGTTCTGCGGGAGAAAGATAAGGCATTCTGCTCCCATAAAGATCTGCAACCTCGGAAACCCTGTACAGGGTCGCTATGAGTCGGAACCGACTCCACGGCACACAGCTACCATATATTAATTACTATGGAGTTCTTGTGTGGAACTGTAGGATAAACATTGAATTGCTAACCACCAAGTCAGTGATTTAAACCCATTAGATATGCCTCACAAGCCCTACATAGGGTTGCTGTGAATCAGAACCAACTTGATAACACTTAACAACAATAACACATATTACTTATATCATATCAAAATTCACTTTCCTAGTGTAATTCATATTTTCATGCTTGTACCTTTTCAAATGTTAGTGCTAGCTGGCTTTTATCTATAAAATTTAGTACATAAATGTTTTAACATTCACGTGAGGACAGATTTTCTAAATTTAATTATTCGATTAATTTCTAATAACTGTGTTAATCTATTTATTATTTTTAAAATAGTAACAATTGCCAAATTACTTCTTAAAATGTTAATGAGAGTAAAAGTTAAAGTACTTCAGAAATATAAAATTTTAAATTATTATGTAATTAAAACCAAATTTGTATTTAAATTTGGAATATGAGTTTTAAAAAGTGAGTTTTATTAAATGAAAATGAACTTATTTTGAAATTTCAAATGCTTAGTTCAGCTTATTTTTTTTTCACACAGCAACTTCAATTGATATGTTTACATACATATAACACTAAATATCACATTTTTTATCTCAACACACTCAAACTAGGTATATTTGAAAGTATGTATTTTGCATAGTTTAAAATATATATATATATATAGTCACAAAGACTACAAAATTATTTTTAATGGATATATTACCTTAAAAGTTATTCCATGTAATAATCAATAGTTAAATTCACTCACAATGAAATATTTGTTTTATTTTCTTTTAATGATCTAAATCTATAGTGAAATGATGAAATCAAAAAACAAGTGTTCTTGTCAGAAGACAGGAAGAGAGTTTTTTTCCCCCTCCCTTAAGGGAAACAAAGGATTCCTGAAAGCTTTGCCCTGATTTATTTTTCCAATTTTAAATACCTTAAGAGCAGCGGAACTGCTACTGGCATGGTAGTATTTCTAACAGTCAATAAATCTAAAATATTATGTGTGAATATTGGAATGAAGCCATTAAGAAGATTACAGCATGCAACACAGCAGAGGGTCCACAGGAAAAAAGAAGTAGTAATTCAGGACAACTGTGACCACTGACCTTTGAACAGCCAAGACCACTGGTCAATCTGACACAATAATAGAGTGCACATGCATAGAAAGTCATCTAGCCTGTAAGTATAATTTAAATGCTTTGGTGAATGATTTTAAAAGGCCTCCATTTAAATCTCAGTTAATCTATTAAGCAATCAGACAATACCAATAGTAGTGTTTTCAGGCTTCAATTAGACTTTATTAATTGAAAGCACCCAAAATTTTTTTAATAAGAATACTTATGATTTTAATATGTCTCATTTAAAACATTTACATTTATAGTAAGCATGATGTGATGTTTTATCAGATTCTTCCAGAACTATTTGAGCTAGTTTTGGCGGATGCCATAAAATGTCAGCTAAAATATTTTTAGAAAATAACTATAACTTTAAAGTAGCTCATACTTTCAGTATACAATCCTAGCTTCACTTCAGAGGTATTTCAATTTGTTCATTCTTCAGATATGTCGCTAAGTTTGGGACCCTTAATTTCAAGCATAAATATTGTCAAATATATACCACGACACTGTTCTTTCAATCTACAAGGGAGGTTCAAAGTTTAAGAAAGAAAGGTTAAAGGAAACTTTCCATGATCTTTTTGAAGTGCCCTCATATACTTTTTAAATATTTTGTTGTTGTTAAGTGCCATCAAGTTGTAATTACACCATTTCTTATGAGTAAACCAAAAGATGCTTCCCCTGTCATTTTATATAGCCAGACTTTTATATTTTTTTAGTATTGTTTCCTTTGCCAGATAGCTAAATAAATGTTTTAATTATCAAAGTAATTCTATTGAGAAAGTAGTACTTCTCAAATTACTCAAGTTACCTATCCAAAAAGTAAAAATTTAAAAGATCATTGTCTAAGAACCATCTATCATTAAACTGACTATAAAAATTTCAATATCACAAACCTAAAAAGCTGAATTTGTCTTTTCATTTCTTTTCTCAGTCTCTGTCTTTAATTTTTTTTTTTTTAATAAACAAGTCTTCCTCCTTAGGGTATTAACAGTAGAAAATGCATGCACATATGGAATACATTCTTAAAAGTTGGGATTGTATTTTCACTAATTATTTCTCTATCCAGTGAAGAACACTTTGATGGATTTCTAAATGAATAACTCTAATCATTTCTAGCAGCTTCTGCAAAAATTTTATAATGAGGCAATCTAGTTATAATGAGCTAAAAAGATAATGTAATTGTTCACTGGCCTGAATTTGGATTTGTTCACACATAGTATAAATTTTATTACAGCAAAATAAAGAAGTTCAGTTTTAATTTGCTATAAGGTCAGCAAGTGTTAAAGGCTATTTGTAGACATAAATAATCTGATATTGATTTTTAAACCGTATTTTTTTTTGTCAATAACCTATAAGAACAATGATGTTTAGTATTACTGCATTTTCTGAGTTTGAGATGTTTAAATTAACTTATTCAAATTCCTTAATAATGGATTTAAAAATACTTGCAATATTATAAAATAGTACGTTCTGAGGGATACTGTTATTTCCCAATTTTAATATCCTTGAAAAGAATGGAAATTATTTTAAGTTAGTTATTTTAAGTTATTCTAAGTTATTTTAACTTGGAGCTATATCATAAAGATATTTTTAAATAGCCATTAAAATATATACAGAAACAGTACTAGTCTGCATTTCTGCCTTGTCCTAAGGAATACCAAGGGGGCGGGGGAGGAAAGCACTTTTGAAGATTATTTAACATGAAATACAGAATATGTCCCATTATAAGCAGCACACACACACACAAACACACACACACACGCGCGCGAACACACACACAAACCCATTGCAAGATCAAAGACCAGAAGAGAACTGGCACTTAATTTATCAGCCTTTACAGACAAAAGACAGTTTTCGTCATTTCAAAAGGATCAGATGTCTTTTATGACAAACTGGGTTTGCAGTTTAATTTACAAATAGAATTCTAAGTAAGCACTCTTTGCTCCGCCAAAGCAAATGACAAACAGTGTAGGTTTTCATTCTTGCGGCCCTCAGCAGGATAGAAAAGATTAAAATAAAACTGAAATAATTTAGAGAAAACAAATAAATGTTTCAGAAAGTTGAGGGAGATCAAAGCCAGAATTTTCTGACCCCAACTGTACAAGCATTTCTTATTATATTGACCAGTGCCATCAGATCATTAATTAAAAGGAAAAGCGCTGGCAGGTGGCAGGGAAGCAAAAGCCGATAATTGGCCCCCTTCTTCTTCTTGCCTTCAAAAACTCTCTCATTCTTTTGCAAGACATGCCACTAGGCAGACAGAAATGCCTACTTTGTAATATAATGATTAAGATGAGATGAAGAGACTTACGTTTAAAGAAGCTCTGCCTAATGAATGCATCTAGGTTTTTAATTATGATCCTACTTTTACAATGAGGAATATGATGTTTCATGCAACATCTCAACTGCCAAAGGTAAAAAATATTAAATACAGAATCTACACTGATTCCTCTCACACCCCATGCATACACCCAATCCTTTTATTTCAGACGAAAAAAGTAGAAAAAAATTCAGTCATTCAAGGGTTCAGGAGAAAAAAATATACATTGTTCACTACAAAATATCCTTTAGACTTACCACATCACTTGGTAGGTTGCTCAAGTCATTAAACGGTGATTCTAAAGTGTTTGTGTCAACATTTAACATAACCACATCTTCCAATGATTTATTTTTCACCCTCTGTTTTAAAAACACAATTTTATTAAAATTATAATAAGTTGGAGCCAGAGAAAACTATCTTAATGCACTACTCATGGTAAAAGAAAAACAGGAAAGCCCTACATTATAAATATAAACAATTGAACCTTCACTGAGAGAAAGTGTGACTACAACCAGTTCAAACAGACGATTTGGGAAAAGATGCTCAAAATAGAATGTTTGTTTATTTAAACATATTTACTTTGGTGACAGATGAATTTAACTACCAAGAAAATATTAAATCAAAAACCTACAAAAAGACATCGCTATATCACACTATAAAAACGTCTATGCTTTTGAATTTATCAACTGAATTGCAATGCCAAACCAGAAGAATTTGCATCTATCTCTATACCTATTTTTAGCATAAATTATATTGCAAATTTAACAGAAACCATTAGCTCTATGACTACAGTACTAAACAACTAAGTTTTAAATTAATAAATACTTTCACTGTATTTCCATACCAATAGAATAAGCTGATAATTAAAATAAAAGTTGAAAAATAAAATGGCAGAGCAGAGTACTATGGAATTTATTGTTAGTAGAACATCTCACATAAATCTCAATATAAATGATAAAATGTATATATAGCCTATCAGATGAACTATTTTGACTTGTTTGATAATTTGATCAAAATGGTTGAATTATTTGAGTATACAGATAAACTAAATTAGAATTTCAACATTTTTTATCCTTTAATAAAAGAAATATTTCAATCGTATTTTTTCCTATTTAAATCAATATGTAAACCTAAACAAACCATAAAATTCTAGTAGTCCTTATTTAAATGACAGCAGGTAAGTAACAGGCTCATTAATATACCCATAATTGTATAGGTCAACTAGTAATAGGTTATTTAATTAATTTCAGTGTTGTATTCTTTTAAAGTCTCATTACCATCTAATAGACAATTAAAAATAATTTGCTAAATACCTTACACAGTTTCATTGGGCAAATCAGAAATTTTTCAGTTGGTCAAAACAAAAATTTCTCTGATCCATTTAATATGCCCAATCACTGTATATTAGCTAGAATGTTAAAATTTGCTAGGGAAATGGTAGTCAGGTGTTGGAATTTCAATGTGTTAGGTCAGCCATAGGTGAAGTGTGGCTCCTCAGGGGAACACATGATTCTAAAAATATATGTTGTAAAAGCAATTATTAACTATTTTAAACTAAGATATAAAGGATGCTCTCCATTCCTAAGATATTAGTAGAGAGTAATTTATAATTGTGATATTATTTAAAAACCTTTATAAATATACTCATTTCCTTCTCTTTCCATGTGTATACATGTAATACACATACATTTAAAAAAAAACTTTAAATGTGAGATATGGTTATTTATAAATTAGCTATGAAAATATTATAAAAAAACAACTTATTTACGAACAAAAATATAATGTTAATGACAATAGTATGGAAAATTGTAAGTCATCATTTTGATATTCATCTTTAATTCTAAAGCATCTCTATGACAGAAACTGTAAAGATAATCCTTATGAATTTTTTATGTATAAAAAAACCTAATGAATTTTTTAAGGGATAAAATAAATTAGCCTAAGCCTTGAATAATAGCTATATACCCTCACAAGATGGAGTCCTCGTGTGGCACTGTAGGATAAGCACTGGACCACAAGGTCAGTTTGAAATCACAAGGTCGGAGGTTCAAACTCACCAGCCACTCCTCAGAAACCTTATACAAGGTCATTATGAGTTGGAAAGAACTCAACGGTACATAATAACAACAATACCCTCCAAGATGTTTTATAGTGACACTAAAACTAAACTCTAAATAAAGGAGACTGACAATAGATTAAATGTATATTTTTCCAAAGTTGTTCTTAGTTTTAAAAGGTCTGATAATAGGCGAACATTAAGTTCAGTCCAGTGAACTTTCGAGTAAGAATGGGAAAAAAAAGATATTCATGTCAATAAAGCAATACATTGAGACTGCTATAAAGTGAGAATAAATCTATAAAAGCAAAATATAATAACACCATGTAACATAAATAATAGTTCAAGAAATCTAGGTTAGTATCATTATTTTATCTATTGCTTTTTCTCAATGTAAGGACTTTAGCTATTACTTGTCTTTTTTTTTTTCCTAATTAGAAGTGGAAACTCATGGTACCTCCTTCTTTATGACATATAGTCAAATCTTCGTAAGACTGATAATCTTGCTTGAATGGGCAAATTAATGAGAAAATGTTAAAAAAATAAAAGAAGTCTTTTTATCGTCAAAAACAAGATATAGATTGAAACACTTGAAGGAACTATATAAAAAAAATCAGTTGCCTTGACTTGATTCCAACTCAGGAAGCCCCTTTTTTGTCACACTAAACTGTGCACTGTAGAGGTGTACAATGGCTGATTTTTCAGACCTTTCTTTAGAGGCAACAATCTTCAAATGGACTCAGAACTCTAACCTCTGGGTGCGTAATCAAGCCCAGTAACCACTTGTAGGATATTCTGGAACTCAATAAGAGCAATGTTGTTGTTCAGTGCTGTCCAGTCAGTCTGGACTCATAGTAACCCTGTACAGCGTTTCCCAGGAGCAGCTGGTGGGCTTGAATTACCAGCCCTGTAGTTAGTAGCCCAATGCTTATCCTATAGCACCACACCAGGCCTCCATAAGAGCAATGTTGTTGTCACATGCTGTCGAGTTGTAAGGTATTAAAAGGTTATAGTTTTTCTCACACGTTTTCTAAATAATCATATAGAATCTTTGGTATATTGAAATAAGAAAGACAATCTTTGTATTTATAGCAAAATAAATAGATAAATCTTATTTGTAGCAGCTACAAAAATAATTTCTAATGACCTTTGTCTGCTTTAAGTTCAAGTTTAAAGTCTGTTTTTCATGGCTAACAAAGTATCTTCATCTTTCATTTTAGAAGCAAATTTATATTAAATAAAAAAAAGACTTCCAGCCATCTTTTACTAACATTATACAATAAAGTAATAGAAAGTAAAAAAAAAAAAAAAATTTTCAACGAACATTAATTTTACGTAGTTTTTAAGGAGCTCTGGTAGCGTAGTGGTTACGAATCGGGCTGTGAACCTTAAGGTCAGCAGTTCGAAACTACCAGCCGCTCCGCGGGAGAAAGATGAGGCTTTCTACTCCCGTAAGGATTTACACCCTCGGAAACCCTGTACAGGGTCGCTATGGGTCGGACCCGACTCGATGGCACTTAACAACAACAACAACAACATACAATTGACAAGTTGAAACTGTTTTGACCAAAAGGGGGAGAAAAATAGAATATTTTTTTACTCTTCCTTAAAAGAAAATCATTGGTTAAATTTGCAGCCAAACAAAATGTGAAACTATTACAAGTTCAGTTTAATTACATGAATATTTAAATTATAGTAACATTTTTATTAGATACAAAAACAAAAAAAGGTAAGAATTTTAGTGAGAAAAAAAGCCCATCTCATAATGACACAATACAAATAAAATTGCTGGTGTATAGTATCTTGTAGATTAAAGAGAATGTTACTAAATGGTACTCAGCTAGTTTAAAAGAATTCCTAAAGTTCCTAGTATATCTTTTCATTTCATTATCAAACTAAATAAAGCTGACTATTAAGATAGTTCGAAAGCCTAGGGTACAATTACAGAAGTACTGAGATTTCAGTCAATCTAACCATGGCTGTTAAAATTCTCACTGGATGATAGGAGCCAATTTAAAGTTAAAATACACTTTTCTTCAAGATAACACTAGAATTTACCCTTTAAAAAAAGTACTGACATTTTCTATAGGTTCCAAAAAATATATGACAAATTTAATTAAATATGTAAAACATGTACCTCTTTCTACATTATTTTGGGAAAGTCAAATTATTTGTGTGAAAATTTGGAAAAGTCTAGTTAATTATTTGAAAAGTTGATGTAGAATCATCACGTAAAAACAAAGTCAATATTTCAGGTCAGGTTCATATCAACCACATTTACTTTTTATTTCTATAAATAAATATATCATAGAAATAATATATCCTTTTAGACATACAAAATAAGAAAAGACATATGAGGCTACAGAAAGTCATGGAAAAATGGAATTAATAGATAACATAATTTTTTCACAAATTTCTTTAAGTCCCCTTGTACGTAAGTACTAATATCAAATTTGATGACTCTTGTTCTGAAACCACAACAACCAACCATGGTTAGATTTTATATAAAGTTTACCAATCATATGATCCACATAGATAAAATTTTGACTCATTTATGTTTTCTTTTATATAATTTATTCTTTCAACTACAAATAGTTTACTCTGGTAGTGTAGTGGTTACGAATCGGGCTGTGAACCTTTAAGGTCAGCGGTTTGAAACTACCAGCTGCTCTGCGGGAGAAAAATGAGGCTTTCTACTCCTGTAAAGATTTACACCCTCGGAAACCCTGTACAGGGTTTCTATGGGTCGGAACCGACTCGACGGCACTTAACAACAACAACAAACAGTTTATCATGTAAGAACAGGTTTTCTAACATAAAATCTAAAGAGCAAATAATGTTATACAACTCAGATTTCTGTATTATAGGCAAATCAAACTTACTAAAGAAATTCATTAAGATGTAACCTTTACTAATGGTAAATCAAACAAAAGATTCTGCCCAAACATTTTGTAAAACCAAAAAATGCCCAAAGGGACTAGAGTACATGCAGAATTCAATAATCCAGGTCATCTATGAGTATGGAAAGAAGTATCTCAATCAACAGGATTTTCCATTATCATTTTAAATGGGGACTTGTAGACAGAAGAAATATAAAAATAAGAAAGTATTTTTACCAATGAAATATTTTCAATAAATGTTAAAATACTCAAATAAGTGTAAAAATGTTATTTAGGTTAAATTGTTGGGTTGGAAACTGGATTAAAGTTAATATGCTCAGCTTGAAAACAAATTAATCCCATAAAGCTGAAATTTGCTTGCTGATAGTCAATTGATCAAAGCATTTTGATTTGATGCAAACCATTTTTTTTTGGGGGGGGGGTAAGATTCTGATCTTACAAGAAATCTAATTAATAAAGGTCAAAGTGTTTCATTACATTGATGACTAATGTGAAAAAAATAAGTCAGAATGAGACCATGGCAGTTCAAGTAAATTACAAAATTTTATGTCTCCAGAAAAACTGAAATAAAAACTGTTTTGTTTTTTTTTATATAAAGCTCTATTACAATTAGGTTCATGATTACTATATTAAACCATGTTTTGAAAAAGCAAGGTGATAAACTGGATCATAAAAAAGCCTGTAAAATAAAGCTGTTTCCCCTCATGATTCATAATTATCTAAAATTTGACTTTTAAAATATAGGTCTGAAACAGAAATAAAAATGATCAGGCTGCAAACCTTAAATTAAGGTCTGCAGTTCGAAACTACCAGCCGCTCCGCAAGAGAAAGATGAGTCTTTCTGCTCTCGTAACGATTTACAGCCTCAGAAACCCTGTACAGAATCACTATGTGTCAGAACCAACTCAACAGCACTTAACAACAACAACATGTTACCATAAAGACAGCGGTTCATCAAGGGCAGGTTCTTTAGTACTTAACACTTATCATACGACTTCTATCAACCTATTTTGTTTGGTTTTGTGTCATTGAAAATTATCATTTAATATTTTTAATTAAATGAAATCATTACAATATTCTGGTTTTAAAACAACCATGTGAGTACATACACTATAAATATGAAACTAGTCATTGCTTTGAACTCTGTCCATTGATTTTTCCTTCAAAATAAAGCTTCTTATTCCAGATTCCTATCTCATTTCTGAAAAATACTCACCTCTATGAGGCTGGAGTGTATTCCAATCAGGTATGGCATTGGGGCACTAAGTGAAAAACAGATATGTACAGATTTATATAGTTCATGCACACATAAGCAACAATATAAATATTTCAGAATGCATTTAATAATGCACAGTTCTAGCATAGCACATTATAGACAATCAAAATTATTAAATAAATCTCACATTGAATTGTAGATTTTTATATACTCAAATTAAGACTGGTTTATATTCTAAAAATTTAAATCATTTTTTAAATCAACAACTCTAATGCCTTAAGACACTTGTTCATTTAAGAAAAGTATCAGCTCTAGGCCATAGTCTGAGCTGAATTTTTCCCATATACCTTATAGGGAATAGATCCTAAATAATAATCAAGTTTTTTCACAGTTTTGGTACACTTTTCTGACTCAATAAATGCGTATTTCTGCAATTTACATAATGAATTTTCATTCCTTCATACCTACTATCTGCCCAACAGTAAGTCACTTAGTCATCAGTCACCACATATAGTCTAGGTTGTGCTGTAGGCCAGGCTTTGTCCTACAACTAGAGGAACAAAGGTAACAAACTCCTCCTTAGTGTAATCATCCTATTTCTGTACTATCTTAACATTCACATATCTTGTCTTTTCATTTTGATTTTATAAATTCTATTTTATCCCACTTTTATTTTTATCTAAAAAAAAATCATTTCAAAAACCATAAAAGCATTTAAGTAAGAGTAAAAATGGCCTCAGGAGCCCATTGGCTCCATATGATAACCACTGGACTGTGAAGCCACAAGGTCGGTGTTTGAGCTCTCTAGAACATCATGGGAGAAAGATTAAGCTTTCTGTTCCCAAGAAGATTTAAAGCCTAAGAAACCCTACATAGGGTCGCTATGAATCAGAACCAATTTAACAGCACTTAACAACAACAATGACCTTAAACTAATTAATTCAATTTACTGAATGTTGAAAATTAAATCCTATACTGGGTCGCTATAGAATCTTGGTGTGGCATTATAGGGTAAACTGGACTGCAAAGTCCGTTTGAACCGCAAAAGCTGGCAATTCAAACACACCAGCTGCTCCTCGGAAACCCTATACAGGGTTGCAATGAGTCGGAACTGACTCAATGGCACTTAACAACAACAACAACAAGCCCTGGGCAATAGAGAGACTTAGGAACAAAAATAGACAAAACAGAACATCCGTCCTCATAGAGTTTTTACCAGAGAACATCAACAGTAAAAAGTTCTTGTAGCAAATACTATCAAAATTACTACTATTTTTATTAATATTTCTCATGAATTACAAAAGGGAAAATATTCAACTTGACATTTCAAAATCAAAATAATATTTAACAAGAAAACATAAGAATCAACAGATGTCTGTGCAGGTAATATGCGAATAAATGCATACATAGAAATAAAACATTTCTGGCAAATCTTTTATAGAAGTCTTTGTGCTCTACTGAACATAAAGCTTTTCTGTTAATGAAAACATAGCCCTCTTTCTCAAGAGATTTGCATAATTTTCCAAACTTCACTGTCATCAGCAAAATACAGCTATCCAAATGTCTATGTGTCACTTGGCTCTAAGAACCAGTAATAGATTTAAAAAAACAACAGGGATCCAAACAGACTCAAGAGTTTTCAAAAGAACCTCAAAGTGTTCCAGATTCATTTAAGGATGGCCAAACACAACCCTAAGGAGCCCTAGTAGAATAGTGGGTTTCAAATTGGACTGCTGATCACAAGGTCAGCAGTTTGAAGCCACAAGCTGTTCTGTGGGGAAAAAACGAAGTTTTGTGCTCCTGTAAAAATTAACGGGGTCACTATGAGTCAGACAAACTTGATAGCACACTATCATCACCACCACCAAACACTACTCTGAAGTCCTGGTGAGGTACTGTAGGATAAGCACTGGACTGCTAATCACAAGCCTGGCAGTTCAAACCCACCAGCTGCTCCTCGGAAACCCTATGAAGGGTCGCTATGAGTCTGAACTGACTAAAATGGCACTTCACAACAAAAACAACTAGTCTAGGAACTCTTGAAGTATTGGGGGGGGGGTTAAATACTTGGCTGCTAATTGAAGTCAGCTGTTGGAACCCTCCAGTATCTTTGTGAGAGAAAAATGTGACACTCTACTTCAGTAAAGACTCACAGCCTTGGAAACCCTCTGGGCTACTATATTCTGTCCCACAGGGTGACAATGGAAGTCCTGGTGTAGCGCTGTGGGATAAGCACTGGACTATAAGAGCGGTTTGAACTGTAAGGTCAGCAGTGCAAATCCACCAGTCACTGCTCTGAAACCCTATGTTATTATTGTCAAGTGCCGTCGAGTCTATTCCAACCCATAGCAACCCTGTACAGGGTTTTCCAAGGAGCAGCTGGTGAGCTTGAACCTCCAACCTTGCAGTTCAAATAGCTTTGCAGTCTGGCACATTAACCCATAGTGCCACACCAGGAACTCCTGCAATTATACTGTTGTTGTTGTTAAGTACTGTAGAGTTGATTCCGACTCATAGTGACCCTGCACAGGGTTTCTGAGGCTGTAAATCTTTACGGGAGCAGAAAGCCTCATCTTTCTCCCATGGAACAGCTTGTAGTTTCGAAGCAGCCCGATTCGTAACCACTACGCTACCAGAGCTCCTTCCAGTAACCCTTACAGGGTCTCTATTAGTCGAAACTGTCTCTCCATCACTAAACAACAGAAAACAACAGAGGTCATGAGTACGAATAGACCTGACGGATTTTGTTTGGTTTTGGAAACATTAACCTACATATAAAGAATGCACAAATAAAGAAGCTTTAGAGTTTGTATTCTAGTTCCCCTTAGCCAGCACATTCTAGTTTGCTACTTTTTATTGTACTAGACTCTAATTCCCAGTTTTTCTTTATCTTTGGTGGCTTTGTACCTTCCTATTTTAGCTTGTTGCTATTGTCTGGTTGCTATTTAATATGAGAGGAGTTTCAGAAAGATCATGAAATAATTCTATTATCTTTTTTTTTTTTTTAATGTTTTCTGGTGAATTATGGGATAGTTTACATGGGAGAACATTAGCTTTACATTCATCCTATCGTATATCATTACATTGCTATAGTTACAATCCCCTCCATGCATCATCAACCAACCAAAGGGTATATATCCTGCAAGCCTGACCCCTGGTCATCAGCATACAGCCCCTCTCACTCTCTGGGGCTAGAGTTCCCAGCCGCTTCATCTCTCCACATCATTCTCTGCCTCCATCTCTGGCGTCTCTGCTTCTTTGGGTAGGGTCCCACACTCTGCTCTTCTCCCTTGATGGTCCCAGGGCCCTCCGCTCCTGGATTGCAAAGTCAACCACTCCCCTCCTTTTGCTACAAAATGTCTACCTTTCCATTTCCAACCCTCACAGTCAGTCCTGATAACAATTATTCACTATTGTACCACAATAGACCTATCCCCATGTCCTTTCATCAGCCCCTCCCAGACAGATTGGATACTACTCAGTGGAGATTCTACCTTCCTCCATGCCCCCTGGTTCTAGGCTCCCTCTGGAAAGCTTGTAAACCAGTCACTTCTTGCCTTTGTAGCCACCACCACCACCCCACCCCACCATTTTGAGTAGCCAATGTCCAAGTTGCCTATCCCTGTCTACTCTGTGTATGGAGGGGGTGGAATTCTATTATCTTTCAATTCAATTTTTCCACAAACTTTTTGAAGTCCCCATCATACAACAGATGATCTGGAACTGATGTGATGGACATTCTACAAACATCAATTGACTGAAAATTGACAAATACTGTAGGCCTTGATATCTTTTAAGACATAACAGATTCTCTGCCTTGTTGAAATAGGAGGAACAAATGTAGACTTTTTCTTGAATAAGAGAAGGCTTGTATTAGCTCAACTTCTCATCCCTGGAAGTCCTTTGGAGATTCCATGTTGTTGTTGCTGTTAAGTGCTAAATCAGAGTGAACCTGTATAGGGTTTCCGAAGAGCAGCTGGTGGGTTTGAACCACTAATGTTTCAGTTCAAGACAACCTTGCAGTTTAGTGCTTTATCCTACGGTGTCACATCAGACTCCATTTGTTGTTTTTGTCAAGTGCTGTTGAATTGGTTCCGACTTATAGAGACCCTGTGTAGGATTTCCGAGGAGCAGCTGGTAGATTTGAAGCGCCATCCTTGTGGTTCACAGTCCAGGGGTACAGTGCCACAACGGGAGCCCATCAGACTCCATACTAGACATAAAATACATGTTATTAACTGTTCTGTGCTCTCAGGACTGGGCTCAATCAACTTTCACAAAAGAGGCAACTCCTAAGATCTTAAATCTGTCAAACCTTCCCTATCTCTAAAACAGTGTAAAATTATTAAAGTCACTGAGCCAATTACCAGGTCACCCCAGGTTAGATTATCAATATGCACAGATTCATAGGACAGAAAATCCAAGCTATCTTAAATCCCAAAGAACATTTAAATAAAACAAGTGTGAATCACAATATTTAAAAGCCTTCTAAAAATTAAATTGTTATGTCCATACTATAGATGTTGGAAGACTATCAGTTGGATCAGATGTTTCTTAAAAATCAGAGTTATAAGTGGTAAATAACCCGCTGATGTCCTAAGAAACACATATAAGACAATAATTTTAAAACATCTTTTTAAATATAAATAACAAATATAGAAATTTAAAATATAAACACAGAAAAAATAATTAAAGAGTTTCTATGCAGAGCTCAATAATAAAGTATCTTAAAACTTTTTATTATGGGATTTCTGGGTATCTCTATGTGTTTTTTCTCAATAATTCCTCACAAAGACAAAACAAAGGAATGCTACAACTGCAAACATTATTAATGTAGAGCATCATTTCTAGAATAATTATGTTTTACAGAACATAGAGTTAACTGAAGAGTTGTTAGTCTCTCATGAAAACTGAACTGTGTACATCCTCATATGAAATTGCCCAAATCTCATGAAAAGTAATTTTGCAACCCTAGCTGAAATTTCTTAATTAGATTATGGCGTTAATAAGTCAGGAAGGGATCCTTGGCAACACAGATGTTTTATCATCCATGTGCAAAACTGTCCTAGATCTTTCCGTCAATGAAGTTATTTTGCAGAGATGGAATACAGCAGGCTCTATTATGACTGCTTCTCCTTTGTGTTAGCAATTAATCTTCACTTAGAAATAATTACTATGTGATAGCCTCTTTTTTCTTTTTTGGTTTTCTTACAAGAGACCACCCATGGGGTAGACCATAATAGCAGTTCATTAATTTAGGGCAGTTGATAACTGAAGGACATAATTTTCTATTTTTTAAAAAAACTATTCTCTTAGAAGCTAATTCCATTCCTTTCAAAGACAGAAGAGCCAGATAGATAGTTTAAATAAAAAGAATTCCTCAACCATTCACTGAACAAATAATGAATAATTTACGAGTTCTGGAGTCATATTAGGAATCCTGATGTAGTACTGTAGGCTAAGCACTGGACTTCACGGCAAGGTTGGTTCAAACTCACCAGCTGTTCCTCGGAAACACTATAAAGAGTCACTATGAGTCGGAACTGATTTGACAGCACTTAACAACAAGAGTCATATTACCTCCAATGTGTTTATGGACTCACATAAGTTAAGAGTATCTGGCAACCTCAAAGACTTGCCAAATTAAAGTACTCTTATACTGGTCCATTAAGGGGAAAAAGCAAACCATGTCCCTTCCTCCCTTAGCTTTCCTTAACCAACCATGGATTATAGGTCAGTACTTCCTCTACAAGAGCTCTGGTAGGATAGTGGTTACAAGTAGGGCTGCTAACCTCGAGGTCAGCAGTTCAAAACTACCAGCCATTGGTGGGAGAAAGATGAGGCTTTCTGGTCCTATAAAGATTTACAGCCTTGGAAACCCAACGCAGGGTCACTATGAGTTGGAAAAGATTCCACAGCACACCACTACCACCACCACTTCCTGTGTGTTCACATTCATGGTTCTTTTGAATACCCCTGGGGCTCTGGTAGTGTAATGGTTACGAACCGGGCTGCGAACCGCAAGGTCAGCAGTTCGAAACTACCAGCTGTCTCGCGGGAGAAAGATGAGGCTTTCTGCTCTCATAAAGATTTACAGCCTCGGAAACCCTGTACAGGGTCACTGTGGGTCAGAACCGACTCCATGTCACATAACAACAACAGCATTATAGTACTGGAGTTCTAGTGTGGTGCGGTAGGACACTGGACCATAAGGTCAGCGGTTCAAACTCACCATCCACTTGGATACTGGGTCACTATGAGGAGAACTAACCCGAGAGAACTTAACAACAGCATTATAGTCCTGCACTGTGTGTGGTGCTGTGGGCTAATACGTCAGCCTGCAAAGTCATCTGAACTGTAACATTAGTGGTTCAAGCTCACCAACTGCTCATTGGAAACCCTATACAGGATTGCTATGGGTCAGAATCGACTCAACGACACTTAACAACAACAACAGTGGGTTACGTGTCAGGTTGCTAACTGCAAGGTTGGTGGCTCAAATCCATCAGCCACTCCAAGGGAGGAAAATGATGCTGTCTGCTATTGTAAAGATTTACAGTCTTGGAAATCTTGTATTTTGTTGCTATGAGTCAGAACCAACTTGATAGTAATTGGTTTTTATTGTAGTATTTATAATATTATAATACCTCTTTGTGTGTGTGAATATGAATGTCTATATTTCTTCCTATCTGTGAATATAAACTCTTCAAGGGTAGGAACTAAGTCTCATCCATTCCATTATAGATGTACAATATCACATAATATATCTATCACTACATGTTTCAGAGATGAATGAATGAATGAGCCAATAAATGAAGAAGCCTTTATCCATGGACCAAGATGTGATATCCATTCATAGTCACAAGATGGCATTATGACTCTCTACAGTCTATGCCACACCTGAGCTACCAGATACAAAAACAAATTATCTTAGGATATGCAAAGTCTCAATCAGTATGGAAGAGTTAGCAAAAATTTATCTTTCTCCTACCAAACGTTTATGGTGATATTTTTGAAGTGGAATAAAAAAATTCTCTATTCAAAGACCATGATAATGAAGGGATAATCTACGATTTATTTTGCTTTCTCAAATATTGTTATTGTTATTTTTGTTGTTGTTGTTGTTAAGTGCTGTCGAGTTGGTTCCGACTCATACTGACCATGTATAGGTTTAAGTGCCAGTATAATTCTAATCTCAAGGATGCAAAAAGATGATTAATTGTTTTCCCCCAGGAAATAACATAGCCCATTAACTTCTGAGAATAGATGAAAACTGGAGTCTTACATGACTCTTTCTAAAAACAGTTTTATTGCATTGCCCAGTTTCCAGGGTAAAAGATGAGTCTATAATTGCGGCCCTAGGTTCAGGAAATCTCAGATAACTCCTTATTTCAGTATCACTGCCATAATCTCTGGTCCAGGGAGGAGGAAGGGGTTTGGTGCATGGAAACTGTTAGAACATATCCTATTTCAGATGTTAGAAACAATTGGAAAAAATTCCAGGGACTGAAACATAAAAGAAGTTTCCTCCATTTAGTAGGAACAGCACAAAAGAAGAACCTGTGGCAGGGATAGAAAGTATCAGGAAAACATAATAGCTCTGAAAGAATTGGTACAGAACTGCCTACACTGTTCCTAAATAACAGTATTTTTACAAAGCGTTAAATGTGTAATTCACTAAAGAAAATAGAGTTTAAAAGTGTTATCTAAAGAGGTCAGAAAATGTTCACAGAAAAATTAAGATGATACTAACATTATACAATCCTTGGTATGGCACTGTGGGCGAAGCACTGGACTGTTAACCACATTGTTGGCAGTTCAAATCCACCAGTCACTCCTCACAAACCCTCTACAATGTTACTATGAATTGGAACACACTTGATGGCACACAACATTATATATGATAAAAGATTATTCTAAGCCTGATAACTAGAAATGTTTGCTCTTGACCACTAACTCTCATTGTTTTTTAAATCATATATCATTATATTTAAAATTAATTTTGGACAAATTTTTTTTTTTTAATTAGTGGGCTTTGTCGAGCAAAGCTCAACTATGTGCAATATTTGCAACTATGCAAATACTATGTGCAAAGATGGTCTCCTGGTGTGGCACTGTAAAAGAGCACTGGACTGGACTGCAAACTACAAGGTCAGCAGTTCAAACCCACCAGCTACTCCTCAGAAACCCTATATGGGGTTGCTATGAGTTGGAACCAACTCCATGACACTTAACAACAACAATAATAATGTACAAAGATATATGGCACATATCAACATGAATAAGTTGTAATTCCTGCCTTTGGGTATGCTAATATTTTCTAGATATGTTGATCAAAGAAAAACTTGAATATGAATAGCAAAAGAACCTATTTACAGATCTACCTCCATTTTAGATGTGTGTGAGAAACTTACATCCTGGTTTCAGTCCATTATAAATACACATACTCTTCCAAGGAAACAGAGAAGCCATGGACCCAAGTTGAATTCAGATTGGGTGGAGTTTAGACTGAGTAGAGTTGTTCGCATTACCAAGAAATTTTTCAGAACCCCTCTCAAAACTTTTGAACACTGCTTTTCAAAGTGGCTTAAAGTTGAGACTCTGGCGTAAAGCTCAGACTCTAACTTAAACCTGAAACTCAAGGTTTCCCTTGCAGGCAACCCATCCATTGCCATACATTGCGTTATTTAGGAAGTGGGTAAAGAGAGGTGGGCCTGAGGTAAATGCAAAGCAAAGTGTGCCTGGACAGAGACAATCTGATATTTGCAAGCTCTTCAGACAAATACTGATTGCCAGAATATTGAGTCATCTGGTAGCGTAGTGGTTACAAATCGGGCTGCGAGCTGTAAGTTCAGCCGTTTGAAACTACCTGCTGTTCCGTGGGAGAAAGATGAGGCTTTCTGCTCCCATAAAGATTTACAGCCTAAGAGTTGGAACCGACTCCACGGCACATAACAACAACAACAAACAATATAGTTTAATTTTCCGAACGACAAACTAAGTTTGTATTTGCTTCTATTTATCTATTTTATTATGTGAATGACTGCAGGAAAAAAACAAAAACACTCACAAAATCTAATGCAGTATATAATTTTGCAAAGCATACGATTTTCTACATTTGAAAAGACCTACTCTATCTACATAAAAGCATTTCACATTTATAACTAATGTCCAAGTCAAGTTACTGTGATTTTTTTTTCATACATACATGACACTTGCCTAATCTGCAAGTGTTTTGGTTCTGTTTTAATCCTGAAACCCAGGTTTAAAGGAGTCTGGCAAATGCCAGCTTACCAGCAGTAGTCCAGCAGGTGTGAAGGAAGCACTGGGATGTATATGTGTTGCCAGTACATTGGGTAAAGCAGAGCAGCTGATCCATGGAGACAGGCAGTTAACTAAAATTTGTAAAAGGATAACAACAATTAAATAGCCCCTGACCCGCCAAACAAAAAGGCATGCTCAAAATATCAAAGATTAATGATCATTGTGAAACAATTTCCTTAATGACATAAATCACATTATCTTTAGCATTTCTGCCTATAAAAGTCTTATGTTTCAAGTCCCCCCTGAAAAATACATAAATAGCAAAAGTAACTTCTGATAGAGACAATTACAGTTATCTGAAAGTATCGAGTTGGGAGTCAAAACGTCACACATAAATAGAAGTAAAAATGAAAAATTAGGTGAGCATCTTAGAAGAAATTGCAGAAAATTACAATTCGTGCAGCACAGTTTGCGCATCACTCAGATTAATATACCATGATTAAATATGGAAAGGAAGAGAGGGTGAAAGCTCCTGAGGGATATCATTAGGGCAAATTGCCAAAGAATGAAACATGAGCCAGTCAGGAGAGTCTGGAAGCTGCAATAGTACCAAGGGACTTGAATGTTCGACAGTTGGAGCTTCAGTAATGTGTGAACTGCGGGTTATGGTATCAAGAGACGCTGTTCACCGACACAGAGAATGTCACTATTGGCCAGCAAACTGCCCGAGCTTGACAGCTGTACTACAGGAAGCCAAGTATATCATAATTTCATATTTAAACTCTTCATTCCAGATTAACATTTTGTTTCTTAGCTTTATATCACAGCAGCTGCAATTACATTGTTGCTATTTTAAAGGTAATTGCCATTTTAATTGTTTTGTAGTGGCAAGCAGGTAATTAAGCATTTCTAAATGCTTTAACAAAAGGATATATTTTTCCTCTCTCCAATTGACCCTCATTACAATTTCTTTCCATGAGATGTTTTGTTTTTTTCATTTTGAACTATATTTCTATAATTCAGTAATTAAAGTAATAATTAAGTTAGCATTTTTTCATTATTTTGAAGCTTTGATATAGCCTGCAATTCAAGTTTGCCAATTAAATCATTTCACTTAAATATCGGAATTTTGAAAATTCTTTAATTTTCTATCAAATAAAACACAGACTTTCTATAGATCATTATCTGTATTTTATTATTATATAAGGAAATTCAAATATACAGTTGGTAACCACATTTAATATAAAATAAATGTACATCAAGCAATCCAAATCTTATCAATAGCAATATCTGTCTGTTCAAATAAAATGTTTTCATTTAATTAAAAAAAATAATAATCTGATCTGAGCCAAAAACATATGTTGCATCATTAAGAGTATACTTACCTTGGTCATACAGTATACGTATATGTTGCATGTATATGTGAGTATGTGTGCGCACATATTTTTTTACTTCAATTTCTAATCAATTTTACAGGGCAAACAATGCATTTTTATTCCATTTCAGATGCTATAATCAAAGTGTTGGTACTTTGTACTTATAAGCTTTAATAGTTTGTCTACAGTAACCTTTCCATAAATATTACTATTTTTCCTTTTTTGTGTGAAAAATATACACAGCAAAATCTATCCCATTTCAACAACAGTTTAGTGACACTGTTATTTCTTTAGATTCCTTAATTACAGCATATAACATACCACTAGGAGGCATTCAAATGCTTCTATTAATAATTATAGATCATGAATTTATATTTCTTACTTGAGGAAAATGAAAATAGGTTTCCTCTAAATCACTCTGTCAAATTCTCAAAGAGTTTATAAGTATTATGCCTGGTTGTAAATTAGGGATCTTTAAAGCACATTAATGCTTTCCATCCATTTAGTATAGCTTGATGGGTCAAGAGAGTTTATGTAGCTTTAAAAGGTAGCAATTTATTCCGTTCTTCCAAAATCATGTTGCACACAGATAACTTTCAAAACAGCTAAATTTTTTTAAAAAGGGAAGTCTTCCATTTTAAAGTTTGGTGAATATTAGCGGAATAAATTAATGTATTCTAAAAACATGATCTAAAATAAAATGTATTCTAAAAGGAGGAAAATGGCCAACTTACTTTACTGGGAATACCCAGTATCCAAAGAACTCTATTATATGTTATATAACCCCCTAATTCTTAATATTAAGGAGCTCTGGTACCATAGTGGTTATGAATCGGGTTGCGCACCGCAAGGTCAGCAGTTTGAAACTATCAGCTATTCCGCGGGAGAAAGATGAGGCTTTCTGCTCCCGTAAAGATTTACAGCCTAGGAAACCCTGTACAGGGTCGCTATGAGTTGGAACCAACTCCACGGCACATAACAACAACAACAACAATTAGCCATGATATTTTCTGGCAAATTTGACTGGCTTCTCACAGGATGGTTTTAGTGATCATAAGCAGAGTTGACACACTTTCTGTAATGGTCACCATTTGGCAGAGAATCATCTCTGCCAATCAGGACCTACTGGGAGACAAGGAAGCTTTTCAGAATTTGACAACTTCTTGGAGATAGGTAACAAGGACAGGTAAAATTATACTAACAACTCCAGCTTCTGGTCTAAGCAACTAGAATTAATTATTAAAAGTCAAGTGGCAGGAGTAGCAGATTTGGGTGACACTATGCATGCTGGTGTGGCGCTGTGGGCTAATGTGTCATACTGCAAAGCCATTTAAACTGCAAGGTCGGTGGTTCAAGCTCACCAGGTGCTCCTTGGAAACCTTCCACAGGGTCACCCTAGGTCAGAATCGACTCGATGGCACTTAACAGCAACAACAACAATGAGCTGTTTGTTTCTGCAAATATTTATACTATGATAACTGTGAGACATGCAAGTGGAGCTTCATAAAAAAGGAAAAGGCCTATCAAAGAAGATCTCCTTATCCACCTGCAGCATGCAACAACGATGTGATTTTAAAAACTAGATTAAATACTGATATTGTTGTTGTTGTTAAGTGCCTTCGAGTCGGAGCCGACCCATAGCGACCCTGTACAGGGTATAGCACATGCTTTTTTAGAGAAGACAGCAAAGTTGCAAACAAAGAAAAATATAATTGAGGAAAAACAAAATTAACCAGGAAATTAAATACTGTTAGAGATAAATTGTGTAAAGTAACAATGAAGTCTATTGTAGACACAAGGATAGGACTCAATCACTAGCTATGTAATCTCTGGCATAAGTGCTAAAACAATCACATCTCAGTTTCCTAATCCTTAAACTATGCTCACCAGCAGCTCCTCGGAAACCCTTAACAACAACAATTACTCTGTACCCCATACCCTGTTTTAAGGACTCTCCATAGCCTTATACCTAAAACATAAAACATATACTCATATTTTACTTGTTTATTATTTGTCTCCTCACTAACATGTAAGTTACACTAATAGAGGGACTGTCTGGTCAATGACATGCCATGGTGACAAGCAGAGATTTGTCATAGCACAAGTTGTTGTTGTTAAGTACTTCTGAGTAGGTTATAAACCATAACGACCCCTCTATAGGGTTTCCTAGGAGCAGCTAGTGAGCTTGAATTGTTGATCTTACAGTTCAAAGCAACTTTGTGGTCCAGTGTATTAACCCACAGCATCACACCAGGACTCTTTAGCACATAGTAGGTACTGAAAAATGTTGTTGAATTAAGCAAATCAATTATTAGAAGGAATCTGGAGATAACCTTAGATGTACTTTAAAGGTATAAATGATCTTTAGACATACTTTAAAGGTTGGAATTCTGATGTGGCACTGTAGGATAAGCTCTGGACCACAAGGTCAGTTCAACCTCATCAGTCGCGCCTCGAAAACCCTATTCAGGGTCGCTATGAGTGGGAAATGGCATGACAGCACTTAACATTAATTATGTTGTTGTTGTCGTTATATGCTGTCAAGTCGGTTCTGACTCATAGCGACCCTGTACAGGGTTTCCGAGGCTGCAAATCTTTAGGAGAGCAGAAAGCCTCATCTTTCTCCCGTGGAACAGCTAGTAGTTTCGAACTGCTGACCCTGCCTATTTAATATGTTCTGTTAATCACCTGAATGGGGGAAAAAACCCTTAACAATGAAATGTTGTTGTTAAGTACTGTCAAGTCAGTTCTGGCCCATAGTGACTCTGTATAGGGTTTCCAAGGTGCATCTGGTGAGCCTGAACCACCGACCTTGCAGTTCAAACCAACTTTGCAATCCAGAACATTAACCCACAGCACCACACCAGGACTAATGAATAAGAATGAAAACTATTAGAACTGATCTAACGTAAGAGTAACGATTACTAGATCTGTCAGAGAAAGTACTTACAGATCATCTAGTCGATATGTGAGAAGGGGTGGTGGTGGTAGTGGGCCATGGAGTCGGTTCTAACTCATAGCGACCCTGTACAGGGTTTCCGAGGCTGTAAATCTTTATGGGAGCAGAAAAGCCTCATCTTTCTCCTGCGGAACAGCTGGGAGTTCCCAACTGCTGACCTTGAGGCTAGCAGCCCAGCTTGTAACCACTCCGCTACCAGAGCTCCTTATGTGAGAAGTACGTAAATTCATTTCCTACTGACTCAACTTATAAAACAAATAAGAAAATCATGTAAGACAACAATTGGGACCTATGAAATCAAAGGGAATATCCAAATTCTAAAGTGAACTTAGACATAGAACAAAGGTACTTGTAACTTCTAGTCTCAGGCCATCAGGTCTAATGTAGAAATTTCCAATAATAGCATAATAATAATAATAGCAAGCATTTATATGTTAAGGGCTTCAAACTTTTCATGAAAAAATGGAATAGAAAGATAATGGAATTTTTCTACAAACTTTTGGAAGCCCTCTCCTACTGCATACTATGTTTCAGGTATTTCTCTGAGAACATGAAGAAATACTGAAACTTAATCCTCCCAACAGCCTTATGAAGTAGACAGTAGTATTATTATTCATATTTTATAGATGTTAAATGCTGTTGAAATGGTTCTGACTCATAGTGACCCTATGTAGGGTTTCCAAGGAGCAACTGGTAGGTTTGAACCACTGACCTTGCAGCTCAAAGTGCCCTTGTGGTCCAGCGCATTATCTTAAAGTGATTCCCATTATACAGAGCAGAATACTGAGACAAAGTT